ACTCAAGTAGAGGTGTAGGGGATGATGAGGGGAAGGCGATGGAGGCGACGAAACGCCGAAAAAGTGGCCGGAAATGCTCGTCGGAGCCTCGTGGAGTCTCGCCAGAAATCGCCTCCGGCGACAAAAACGTCGGCCAAATCTCCTCAAAATGGAGGGATAGGCCGCGGTTGATGTGGGAAGAATGGGTTTGTGGTTGGTTTGGTGAAAAAATGACAAAAAATGCAAATGAAAGAAATGATTATCAGCTCAATTAGTTAAGCTAATCTGTGAATGACATGCTGATAGTGAATCAAAGTTGAGTCACCATGGTTGCTTGAATTGAATGAGCACTAATCAAACCTATACATATAAATGCTGTCAAATATGCAAAAAGGTTGAGGGGCCACATAAATCTTGAAACAGGGGAGGGTTTTAGACTTTAGTAGACGGATCTTATCGTTTTGAGGGGGCAGGGCAGATACCCTTTGGCAGAACTTGGGTCATCTCATTCTCATCTATATATGAATGAATATATGATTAGACACGTTTGGATGTTGACACATTACTCAGTCACGTTGAGCTGTGCTTTGAGAGGCAGTGGAGCAGGGGTTTCTGTACAAGATAAGGGTATTACTTGACCCGTAGTTAAGGCTTGATTGACAGGCGATGATAGCCTCTGATTATGAGTGGGGATCAAGGAAGCTAATTGGCCGAAACAGGGGAGGGGAGGGAGGGCATGGCCTATGGGCCTTTGAGTTGGAAGTGAAAGGGGTGCCTTGTTATTGCCTGGGCACTTGTCTTCTTCATGCAGCGGTTGAAAACCAGCCGCTGCCGTCAGCAGCAGTAGCGACCTACGACCCCAACCTCAACAACGTGTCCGTTGCTACTGATCCATCATCGTCCTCATCGGTTGGTTCGGCCACAGCCACATTAATATGCAGCGGACCGTCCTCATCATCAACTACGGTCTCGACCAACATTATTGTTCCCGGTGGCCAATGTCTACAGGTAGTTATACTACTAATTACCATGTCGCGTCCATAATTTAATAAAGCCATGCATATGTACTGTAATTAAGTACGTAGCTAATTTTCATATTGATCCTTATTTGTGATTGTGGCAATTATATTGTAGGTAACCAATCCTAAGAATGGGAAACAAGCGATGGTGAGAATCATAAACAGGAAATATTGTAGCAACAACAGTTTGGCACTGGACCACGATGCCTTTCAACAGATAGAGGATGATGATGCAGCAGCCGCCGCCCACCTTCCCGTTCAAGTTAGCTACAAATACACGCACTGTGTTGACAATTAGCAAAGTTATCTGTTATAAACGCGCTGCTACGGATCGGGAAATCGCCGGAATCGACAAAGCAAGAATACGAGAGCGAGAATCGAAAGACACAGACACACGATTTACGTGGTTCACTAACACGATGTGTGTTAGCTAGTCCACGGGCGAGAGAGAGCCAGTTTCACTATATCTGAGGAGATTACAGATTACAGAGGAGACCCCCGATTACCAGTCGTAGCGGCTGATAATCCGATTCAAGTCATATCAACAAATCTCCACCTTGACTTGA